GCGTGACCAATCTCATGAGCAGCTATTCCGATCTGAAGTAGTGTGAGAAATTAAAGTAGTGATAGTAGCCGAAATGCCTAGTGCTTCTTCCCCAGCAAAAAATTGCTATTGAGGGCACCTCGACCTCTTTCGAAGCTTCTTTTAACCGTTACCGTTGCGCAGCTGTTCGCCGAGGGAAATGAATTGCCATCCGTCCTGTTTCCCAACCTCTCCCCAACACCCATATTCTTTGTACACAAGAATGAGTTCGTCAGCTGAAACACTAACATCCAGCAAAACCCTGCTAATATTCCAATGTATTTCATTTTTCACCCCTTTCGTCTTCGTCCAAGGTGATGTTTATGCAGGTGTTGTTCGTCCATATTTCCGCTGCTCTTTTGACGGCAATTTTTGCATTTCCACCTGAAGAAGGGAGACCAACTCCTCTGATCTTTTTTTGTCAGCGAAAACATAAGAGTTACTCACCTAAGTTGCGATCGAGTGCGTATTTAACTTCAAGTGATGGCCATTTTTTAACAGGGTAGGTATCATCATTGCGAGCTTGCCGCTTAAATCGGTCCCCGCTACCATCCGCAACAATCTGCTCTTGTTGTTCTCTGAATGCAGTGCACATTTTTGCATCCATATCCAAAAAAAGAAACAAACTTTGAAAGGAGCATATCTCCCTGGAACAAAGCGTCTGCGATTCCGCTTTCCGCGTTGACGTCCTCAATTGGCTTGTTCATTCGTGGCTCCTTCCACAACTATAACCTTCAATCTACATTTGCCTACTACTGATCTGTGATAAACCCACCAACCTCTACTTTCTCTAGGAATTCTTCTTGATCTTTACTCAAAACGTATTTTGTGTGGTTGCGCTCCCTCAACTTTTCCCTTAGCTCAGGCATGTGGTCGACATCCTGTAGGCAATAAAACGAGAGATACATTAGCCTCCAGTTATTTTTAAGAAGGTGCCTTACCTCTTTTATGCGACTCATGAGCTTTTCTACCTTGTTTCCATGTTTTGTTCTAATAGTAAGATTCCAAAGACTTTTGATCACGCCATTTTTGTCGAGTTTGGAAAACTCAGCGCCCACGTATACAGCCACGAGTAGGACTTCTAGTAGAATCCTCATAGTGCACTGAAAAGTCCTTAAATTCTTAGTGAAAGCAGAGATTTTTGCAAATTAATTACCTGTGACTAGAAACTGTTGCTGCTCCATTCTTCTCGTATTTAAGGGTACTTCTGAACTTTAGTGTTGACTTAGTGGGAGGGTTTTCAGTGTCGATACATGGAATAGAGGACTAAAAATTGCCATTCTGGCTTCTGCCCTTGCTCTCAATGAAAATGTTCAAACATTATTCAAATATTTCACGAACATGCAATTGCAATCTGCGGAGTGAAGCAGATGTATGGGAAGCATTGGACGAAAGGCCAGGCACTTGATTCAAGTGGAACTTCCTCCCTTTGTGACGAAGATTGCAAGAAGTCTGAATGCTTCCTTGAAGTATGGATTTAGCCAGTGAAGTTGGGTTGAATACGTAATGCCGGCGAGTCTTCGTGAACTTTCCGCTCCTTTTATCCTGAATGAGCATAATGAGTAGTGTTGCAATGATTACAACAATCGCATCGTATTTCACTGTTTTTCGTTTTGTTTGTTCACATTTAGGATAGTGGCCCATATTTTGGAAGTACTACAGAGTGTACGAATTGAACTGATAGTAAGTGACTAATGTCACTGCCGATAAAAGAATGTGAGGACGGTTTACCAATAGCCCTGATAGTGGACAATAACATGGAAAACTGAAACAGATTAGTGTGAGATCGCTACCAACAACACTCCTCACTAGTATCACGAGGAAAGCTTTGTACATAGGGTTGCACGGCTTCTGGGGTTACGAATGCACAATTTTAGCTACTCTCTCCGTTGGAACGTCTCCGTCTCCTTACCATTAATATCCTACTTACTATAAAGCGCTTCGTCTGTCGTCTGTCGTCTGTCGTCTGTCTGTATGTCTGTCACGAAATTCCCTAGCTCCTCGGGATCCGCCTGGAGGGACCGGGTCAAGTGTGGGACGGGTGGGCAAGGTCTCACGAAGTACAAAACACACATCAGCTAAGCGGAGCCCCGCCCACAGTGGGCGTGGCGTGCGTCGAAATGAAGTGTACTGACGACCGAGATTTCTCTTAGAAAACGACCTTGAAACTACACTGCGACGCATAATTTAGTTCCACCTACAAATTTCCCAAAAACTTGAATCTGGGGATGTTTTTGAAAAAGGCTCTACAGACAAATTGTGACACATATAAACGCGAATCTGAATATTAACACGGAAATCCAGCTTGAG